CAGACTGGACGAACGCGCGTGCTGGAGGCTTGCTCGACGCACGCTTGGGAGTTGGCTGAGACAACCTTGGAGAGCAAGCCTTCAAGAAGATTTGGGCAGATCTTGGAGGCCTATTATTATTATGTTTCATAATTTATAGTTTTCTAGTTTATGTTAATAAGCATGTGAATAATTATTTATTTCCTTAGGACTAGAATTTGATTTGTATTAGGCTTAGTATTTTTCTTTTTAATAGGCTTAGTGTTGATATGGTTTTCGGTAAACCATGTTGTTATTACTCATTGGTTGTTAGTGCTCAATAGTTAGGAGATTGTATTCTCTTAAAGGAGTGGCATGCTCATGAATTCCGAAGTACTCACATATCGGACACAGACAGACTAAGAACCGACATCCTCATCAACTAAACCGACATCTCATATCGATTACGACATGTCGGTTGTGACACGTCGGTTATAACTTATCGAGCCGATATCTATGACTTGCCGATCCGACATCGTAAGGCGGTGCCAACTCAGCACAAGTCATCATTACGCCTTGCCAAGTGGCGTGCTATAAGAATGAGTGGCGATCAGCCGCCATTGACTTTTCTAATATAATGATTATATTTTTTTGATAAATGTTGTACATTAATATAAAAGGGAGAAGAAGCTCTCCGGACGGGATATACGAAAAATATCATTCTATAATATTCAATAAATTCTGCTTTTGAACTTTTGTGTTCTTCATTAGTCTTTCATGAATACCCAGCGTAATCTTCAGTATATTACCGTTGTTAATTGCCATATAACAACAGTTTGGCGCTAGAAGGAGGGCCTCATAACGTTTTTGAGGTTAACTTTCGCTGTTATAGCCATCTCCTCGCTTGAAGTTACCATGTCGCAATCTGGTCGAGATCATACGGCTCATCCTGGCCAGAGCCAATCGACTAATCATTCCCCAAGGCGTTCAACACCACCTCCTCCGGTCACGAATATCACGAACTTTCTCCAAAATCCGTAATTTATTCAAGGTTTAACCTCTCTTATAGCTCGAGCCATGCCCAGACACTCGAGTACTATACCTGTATCTACGTCGTTTATACCTGTATCTACGCTGTTTCCAACGAATCCAACAGAACATCCAAATCTTACTCATCATGACCCTGAAACACATGCGGCGACATCACATGATACGTCACAACCACACCATACTCTTCCACAGCGAGAGGAGTTAACTCGTATAACCACTAATCCAGTAATGAACAACCAGGTCGCGGAGGAACCCCCTGTTCAAGAGATGATTGCTGAAAGCCATTCTGCTCATCGTCAAAGAATTCCGTCACGTCCCAAACCTACCTCACCGGTGCCTCGTGATCGTGAAGATTTACGGCGTCAGATTGAACGGAATCGCATGTCAAGACATAGTGCAGAAGAAATCGAGGTTCTCCGTAAAAGATTGGCTGAAATTGAGACTCGACAGAAGTCACAAGAAGATTCTCCCCGACATGTCTCGATGTCGGGAAATGTTATTATTGAAGCTGATTCGCCTTTAGCTCCAGAACTTACTGCGGAGGCACTCCATGCCAAGGTAAAAATCCCACAAATTGGCATGTATGATGGAACTTCGGATCTAGACGCGCACTTAGGCCATTATACGTCATGGATGGATTTGCATGGAGCCTCAGATGCTTTGAGATGTCGGATGTTTTCCCTCACACTGGGGCCACGGGCACAAAAATGGTATTATACTCTTCCGCCTCACTCAATTTGGAAGTGGCAACAATTACGTGCAGCTTTCCGATCACACTTCATCGGAGCTCAAGTTTGCCTTATCCCAAAAGAATCGATCACTAATATCGTGCAAAAGGATGACGAAACCGTAAAGGAGTACATATCTCGGTTTAACGACTGAATTCAGAACATGGAACCTTGTCACCCTGAGACCCTACTAGTGACTGCAATTGCTGGGTTAAAGCCCAATTCGATGTTTCGCTGGACCTTATGTCAAAACAAGCCGGCTACCTTTCAAGAATTCCTCGTACGAGCTCAACAATTCATTATCGTTGAGGAGTCGATGTCGGTTCCTAGTTTTGACTTCTCGGTGAAGGAGAATAAGACTGAGTCAGATGCAAAAAAGAAGAATAAGAAGAATTTTGGGAAAGCGCAATATCGAAATTACTCAAAAGGATATGAAAATACTCCGGAATCCAGAGCTGCCCGAGACCAATATGCCGACAACGTGAGGACAGGCTATCAAACCGTTTATTCGGCTGGAGCAACCACAATTTTTGAAGAACTGAAAGGAAAGGGAATTATTCCTGATCCGAAACTAAAATAAATAAAATAAAAAAGTATTATTTAAATAAAAAGTTAATCTTAGCCACACATATTGATACCCTTTTAGTGGCTAAGATTTAGTCTCATGTCCTCACTTTAAGAATGTGGACTCATTGGAACCAATCCCTACATATATATGGTAAATATTTATAATGAAATACATATTATTACCACTTTAATCTACAAATTTTACATACAAAATATTTTATTTTGTTATTTTTATGTATATTTATATGACAAAATACTCTATATATAATTTAAAAAATTTTAAAATTACTTATTCGGTTCAGCAATTGACCCGGTAACCTGGCGGTTGAACCGGTGACCGGAGACTTGCCCGGGTCGATTACAGGGCCGGGTTTAAAAACTATGTTATTTAGTCTTCTCAATTTCTTCTTCAAGATTTTTAAATTTTAATTTCTTTTCTTCTGAAAATTTTAAATATAATTCTTGAGGCAAGAATGAAAAGGATTTTGACCGGGATTTAAGGATGGAAGGCTCGGATTTTTGAATTGAAAGGCTAGGCCACGGTTAAGGACTCACCTCGGTTGTTTGGACCCAAAAAAAGTCTCGGCTGCTGCTGGTTACTCCCGGGTGTGCTCGGCCACTTGATTTGCTCGGCCCTTTGGCCGGTAACATGAAGTCAAGGGCTGAAGCAGGGGTGGGATGTGCTCTTTTCAAGACATCTAACCCCTTGTTTTATTCATTTTGTATGATCCCGGACAGGGGCGGATCCAGAAAATTAAATTGGGGGGACCAATTTATTTATTTTTTTAACGACATATGCTTAACAATGCAGACATAAAGTAGCAATTTTGGAATTAAAAAAAATTGTAATAAAAGAATACATACCTTCAAACTTAGTTTCTACTTGAATTGTGCTCGGCGTTCTTTCAAGTCACTAAACTCATCATTGGCGTTCTTTCAAGTCACGAAACCCATCAATGATTGACTCAGTACTAATAGATCTTGCAATTTCTCGTTCGAAGAAGATAGTCAAAGTGATGGCCATAAATAAAAACCTACATCAGATTTTCACGGATGGCCAAAATGCCCAAAATACTTCCTAACTCCCCTATTTGGACCACTCTATACAATGTGAGATGGCTCCAAAATATTTTACAACCTAGCAGCCATGAACCATTTAATTTTCTTTCATTAAGAATATTAATTTTTCAAACTGAGGCTCAAGCAGAAGAGGAAGGGCAAAAAATTCATTTGATTAAACCCTAAATAGCTCAAATGAACAAATAGATAATATCATAATTCATGAATAAAAGTATAAAAAAGTACTTACAAATGTAATTATCCGATCAGATTATTAGAAAAAGACGAATGCTCAAATCTCAATTGATATGTTTTTTTTTTATTTTTTTTTCTTCTTGCTCAGTGCTCCGTCGATACTGTGTAGTGCTCTTTCAGTGCTCCGCAGCTTTGCCTTTTATTTTATATGACTTACTTTAATTGTTTGTTAAATGGTTTAAAGAATAATTAAATAATTTAATATTATATTATATATCCTTAGTTGTTTACTGCTTGTTAAAGCGAAAAGAATCAGAAGTTAGAATATCAATCGGCTTTGACTTTTTCTATATAATATATTATTTTTTTAGTTTATATTAAAAGGAGACTAAACAATTAAATATACATTATTATTATATGCTATATATACATACATAGTACTAAGGGGAAAAAAAAAGTTTGGGGGGGACCATGGCCCCCCTAGCATAGCTTTACATCCGCCCCTGATCCCGGAAGATAGGCAGGCTGTTCCTTACCAACAACTGAGTTTCGGTTTGAATGAGAGTGTTGAACCTTAGCTTCTTAGGCAATGGATGCCAGATTTGGCAATATGGGTTTTGCCGCTAGCCGACACAACCTTACGGCTCGATTAGCACGGCTTCGCAAATCCCTTGGTCTCTGCCCCAAAGGCAGTTATACGCAAGTGGGGTGCAATTTGATCAACAGTGATGGAGGACGTCAGAACAAGAGATATAAGATATCTTAGAGGAAATCTGGTTACTTTAGATGTAATGTACCTCTAACCTCTACATTGGGTGAAATTTTGAATTTAATTTTATCGACGTTGCTACTATCATCTGATCGTTTAATTACAGGCTTGGTCGATTGACCAATAATTATGAAATCAGATACATTTTGAATAGGTTTTTGTCTACTGCATGGAGAGACAAATAAAGCAGAACATATTCTACTTCGATTCGATTTACTCCCTTCCCATTAGTGGCTTCAGTTTTTTATGCCAATATTAAGTTTAAGGTATTGTTCTTACCGCTGGACTATCTCCCAGAGAACAAAGCTGGCCTATATGCATTTTTTGGTGAGTGGCCATTTATGATTTATCTTATAATCTCTTGCTTAGTGTGTATAAAACATGGGGCATAAGTCGAAGTTCGTATTCATTCTCTTTTCCTTTTGTTATGCAACTAACAAAGTATAGCGATTAACAGAGTTTGACACATTTTCCATCACCCCTATTACAGAGCATCCTACGGCAACCATACATCACGACCCCACTAAACCCGACAAACAAGCCGATCACAAAGTAAGCCACGAAACACCTTCTCCACCTCCTCAACCCACACGCCTTGGGCCGAACAATCTCCTTCCCCTCGTGACTCAAGGGCGACCCGGGCATGACCTGTGCCAGCTGCTCTTTCGTGATTGGATACAGTTTCATGAAGCCCACATCCGAAAGGCTCTGGTCGAGCTCGTCCCTCGATTTCAGAACACGCGACACGGCGCCACATAAGCCCAGCAGGTTCGTGACGGCCGCCATGAGGGAGAGGGTGAACGGGACCCACCACTGGCGACAGGTGGCGGTTGAGGAGGCGGTGATGGAGGCTAGAACGACGGCTTGGAATATGAAGTACAGGTTGACGTTGTGGACGACTTTGGTTTCTTGATTACGTATGTTGTGTTCTTGTAGCTCGTTGGCCGAGACGAGTTTGTCGATCTCTTTTCGGTTTCGTGCTTCGAGTGTGGTGGAGTTGCTGTCTAGTCTTTGCTCCATCTTAAACAGCTTCCTCATAAACACTTAAAAGAAAAAAAAAAGGATTAATTGTGATTGTTTTGTGTGGTTGTGTTTGAAGGAAAAAAAGTACTAATGATATCAAGATTTGGATATAGTGTGTTTTTGTGGATGAATGGGTGGCTAGTTGACTTTGTTTGTGCTTAGTCAACGGTGCTATGCCTTGCTTCTCTAAAAACAAATTGTTGGAAGAATGGGATAATGACATCCCACCAAGACAACCATTATATATTATATATATACACACACACACTATGGAATAAAACCTTTATATTGGCATATGTAGGTTATTAGGGAGGGTATAATTGAGAAAGATAGGATTAATCATGTTATTTTTTAAATAAAAAAAAAAAAAGTTTATTAATTAAGAGGAGATGATTTATTTTATTTTATGACATGGCAAGATTAATCCCGTGTAAGGTTTTGTTGGTTGAGTGAGGTGATGTTAGTTGCGTTAAATACAATCTTTACAAAGTAGTTAGGCGGATCATTAAAAATAAGGGAAATGTTACGTTCTCGTTATGAAACCATTCCGTCGAGTTTGTAACCGATAGATTATCATGTAACCGTCAGAGATAGTTGATCTAACAGTCACAAATTTCGATCGAATGATTTCGTAATCGGACCATAGCATCTCTCTAAAAATAATGTGAAGAAAAGAAAGAGACAAAATACAAGTTGCCCAATAAACTACAGAGATGCACAAAGAAAATGAGTTTCCTCTGAACACACACCAACCCTCTTTTCCAAGACGAAAGAATCCAAAACAGACCCTCTCTCTTTAACCCCCAAATAAAAAAAACCAGCCTGAAAAGGCAAAAATTGAATTGGGGGAAAAAAAAAGCTAGGGTTTTTGTGCGATATGCACATAACCCATGTCTTCATTATCTTTCTCCGTTGGTAATTCTGGGGTTTTTGCTCGCCGGCGTAATTGTAATCTGATGCTCAGCTCAAATTGCATTCACTCCCTTCCTCAGCGCCCACACCTCTCATCCTTAAGCCCTAGATTCAAGTCTTCGAAATTCTCCTCTAAATCGCCACTTGCCCCTGTCTTGAGCTTTCGGGTTGCCGGAAATCATCACAAGTTGTCAGCCAAGGTATGTAATTGACGGGAATTTTAAATAAAAAAATATGTACACCTTTTTTGTTTACGTAGTTGGATGTCATTTATTGATATTTTCTTCTTACTGGGTTGGATTACGATTATGAGCTTGGGTATTAGATTTGATTTTACTTGTATATAAATGTAATTGTCGTCTGCTTTATTAAGTGATTTCTGTATTGGGGAGTATGTCTTCTCCTGGTTTAACGTAAAATCGTAGCGATTTTTCGAGGAAAAGATGGATTCTGAGTTTATCATGTATGCTAGTAGTAAAATGATGATATTTAT